AACAATATGATTTATCCTTTAATATATTATTCCCATAATATATTAATAAATCATATTTAATCCTCTATCTCCATAATTCATCCTATCAAGTTTGTGACATCCCCAAAATCTCGGCCAAAAAAGACCGATTTTCATTTATGCTTTTAAAATAAATTCAGAGTAAATCCTTTTGATTTGAAAGAGTTGCGGAATTTGTCCCAAAACAAAACATGATAAAACAATGTTTACCAAAGCATTTCATAAAAGAAATGTATTTTCATTATATAATCAAAACTCGGGGTGTCATGTTCCGATACAGACCAATAAGCATAAACGATAACATTACAAGTCATTCATCAAATATATACATATACAGACTTGTAAACAAAACAACTTGATGGTTCATCCATCTTACGCCCTTGCGCCACTTCCCCTGTAATACAAATAAAACTGAGTGGGTCAGGCTTGGGAGCCTGGTGAGCATATAGGGTTTTCAACCCACAATAAATAATTAAATTAATTATTAACAACCAACAATAACCCAGTTATCCATTCCCGTTATTTTCACTTTATGTCCCTAAAATAACTAACACAAGGGACCTAATCTAAGAATATTTTCATCGGGGTGACAACACATGCTGCGAGGGTTCCTCAGCAATATAAGTCAAATAAGGCAACCATGAGGGGGATGGAATACAGCGAATGAACACCCAAGTTCATTAACACCTACAGGTTATGAGTCTGCTAGCGTTCCACTGGACTGTCTAGAAAAGTCCGTGGTAGTCATCTAAATTCCGCTAGATGACTGGATCAAAACAACATCGAGGCCTCTCATCTATTTATTACACACCAACTATCTACCCATGTTCTACCCAACATATTCGTAGATAAAATATATATTTTTATACATAGTTTAAAACCTGCATAGCATTCTCATTCAATACATATTCCAAAACAACAAATGAGACACATACACATAACACGTATTTCATAGAGAATAAATCATATCTATGAGATAGAAGAAAGTGAATATACATTCACACACATAACAACAAAATATACACATAACACGTATCTCGTATAAAATACTTCATAATTATGCGTTAGAAGAAAGTAACAACACATTCACACATATAAACAACAATATACTTAATACACTCAAACCATACTTGTATTATTATCGTGTTTATGAAAGGTAGTATACACTCACTTGATCAAAACATGATCGGACAACACTACGACTTGCAGAAGTAGTAATCCTCAGCAGATCTGGAAGATCTCTACAAAAATCGAACTTCTCGCGGGCAGAGCTTCGGCTCGGAAACCGCACTTCTCGGGATCTTCGGGATCTCGGAACTTGCTTTGGGACTCGGGAATTTTACCGGGGCTTCGGGGTACTTCTGGCATGCAAATCGATGCAAAACGGGAGAGAGATGAGAGAAAAATAGCAAAGAAACTCGGCAGCCTCGCATCCTATTTATACGAGGCTGGAACCTCCCAGTACGCGGGGCGTACATGCCTCCGAAATTGTCACTGCATGCGTCATCCGAAGTGTCGACACTCTTTGCTGTACGCGGGGCGTACATCAGTATGCGGGGCGTACTCCGGATGAGTCCGGTGACTCGCCTTCGGATAAGGCCGGATTTAATAATTAAATTTAATTATTAATTATTTAATAAACTTCGAAAATTCATATCTTCTTCATACGAACTCCGTTTTCAACGTTCTTTATATCCACGCGAAGATGAGACTATGCTCTACAACATTCGTTTAGACTCCGTTGGCTAATTTTGACTTTATTTTTATTATTTATTTTTAATAGGCCAGGATAGAAAATTTCGTTATAAATTCATAACTTCTTCGTTTGACGTCCGTTCTCACCTAACTTTTTATCGCTTTGATACTAACAACGAGATCTTCGATTCTCGTTTAGATCACTAAGGCTAACTATCGCTCTAACGTAAATTTCACTTTTTACGTCATTCAGCGTTGCCGGTTCTGTCGCAAAACTTCGACAGGTCATAACTTCTTCATTATAACTCGGATTTCGGTATTCTTTATATCTTCGGAAACCTTGTTTCAACTACTACAACATTATCTAAAGATATCAAGTTTATTTTACACTTAAATTTTGACGCTTATTTTTATTCTTAATTAATCAAACTACATAATTAAGCAATTAAGCACAGAACACATAATACTCAAATAATACACTTCTATTATTTCAAACGGGTTTCAAAGGTTAACCTAGACTATTACATTGCTAAAAATGGCAAGCCCAGAAACACAGGCATTACAAAGTTGCTTTGGTGAAGGCAACCCAAAAGGACCATGCACTATCGGGTCAAGTTCATAACAAAATAGTTATGGACTTAGACACTAATCCAACAATAAATTGAAGCTAACTATCGTCTAGATATATGGCTCAACACTTAATTAGTGTATGGAATTGTGTCCTTAATTCTTGTATTCACAGGGGATGACTAAGGGATTCTAATAAATTGGGTCTGTTTAAAATCGTTATTCTTTCTTTCTTTGTCGCCATATGTTGTCCCCTTTACGTGATCGGAAGATCCGACCTAGGACACAACATATGCACTCAGATGATGTTCACTGCTTTTAAGTTAGTATATTGTCCCCTACATACATTCAACTCTCTATGTTCGCCATATGTTGTCCCCTCTGCGTGATCAGTAGATCCGACTTGGGACATAAATATGCATTCTACAATGATTATCTAGTCACCTAAAGTAAAGGATTCTGAATAAATTTCCTTGATTATTGGGGTATGCCATGAAGTGGGGAACATGTTCCAATGTACTAACATAAACTGCACCCATAACTAAAGGCTGACTGGTAGATTTTACTGGCTAAATTTAAGTGGACAATAATATCCTTGGTCCTCATCAGAAAAAATGGTCTATCTAGGAATATAAAAGCTATATATCATCACTCATGATCTGTCCCGAAAAAGTGTCCTTTGTGTTTAAGTGGATCACAACATCAATGATTGACTAAAGCTTTTCATGAACGTGTGTGCTGATAAACCTCATTAATTTGCTTCATAACGTTTTAACCCAAAAGTTTTTGTTCTACTAGAATACGTTTATTACATTTTTTGTATTATTTAAATTTGTATATATTTTCATTGTTATGCACAAATTTAAGAGGGGGGGGGGGGGGGGGGGGGCAGGGGAATAATAAAATTTAAAAAATTACAAATTTTAAAAAAATAATAAAATAATTAATTAATAAAAAAATGTGTTTAATTTTAATTTTGTTTTCCTTTTTGGTTCTTGAAATGTAATAAAAAAAATCCTTTTATTAAAAATGGGTATTTTTTAATTTTGGGCGAATATAGTTTAGGTGGGACATCTGGGCCGTTTTTCGATAATATATATACCGTGTTTTCAGCTGATTAGGGTTTCTCACCGAAAATCCCCAAACAGCCGACGTTTTTCTTCTCTCTAAATTTCTTCGAGTTTTTCTGCTAAAACCTACTCAGTCGTTGCTTTTTGTTGCAAATTGTTGGTGAATCAGACATTTTTTTGGGTTTCCGATCATGGTAATGGCATTTAAGTTGTTTTTGGTGTACTCGGTTTCATAGATTTGCAGGTTTTCGAGTGGATTTTTCCACGTTTTCAAAGAACTGAGTTGGAACAGGTTGTGATGAGATTTCGAGTTTTTGGTTCAACCTAGATTCATCCGAAATCAGATGAAGATATGACCGAAATATGGCTTCTTGGCCGAAATCAACTAACGTTGACAAAAATCATCTGGTCAACAAGTGATTTTGACCAAAATCGATCAGCTTTAACTGAAATCACTCATCCTTAATCGAAAAGGACAGAAATTTTGTTTTTGGCCGAAATCGACTGAAATTTTAACTTTAATCGGAATCAGATTTCAGACTCAATTTAATTAATTTTAAATTAATTCTCACTTGGCTAGTTTGGTGCAGATAAATGGTAGAGCAACTTAAATTCGTAAACTCTCACAACATTGTTGGATATCTCATGGATCTTCCTGTTGCTCATCAAGAAAATCCATGATGGTGGGTATGAAGAATTGCAGGATATCTCAAGCCCTTCGTGCCAATCCAGTCATTCACAGAGACCTAATCACTGATTTCTGAAAAAAAAATGCTTCGATGAACAAGCTAGGAGCAAATGGAGTTGGTACAGTGGAATCTTTGTTGAAAGGAACTCAAGTGATAATCTTTAAACAAGTTATCCAAAAGGTACTTGAATTTGGTGATGCTTGTGCATTTCCAATTGAGTATTTAGCTGATCACGTCAAGGAAGTTCTAGACAAAATGTGTTATGAAGGAACCTATCCTCCCACTATTAAGAAGCTACTACCACCTTCTTGGAGATTCCTGGCACACTCCTTTATGATATGCATATCCGGAAGAAATGGAGGCTCTGACGAAATTAGTCAGACTATAACCTCAGCCATTGTCGCTCTAGCTATGGATTCGGATAATAACTTCTCAAAGTTCGTCTTCGAAGAGATGAAGAGCAACCTCCTAGGAAAGAAAAAGTACCTATTTTTGATGTATCCCAGGTTTCTTTAAATGATCTTTAATGAAAAATATCCCTAAATCGAAAGGTCGTCTGATACATTGAATATGAAAGCTTTGGGTCCCTACACTTTTGGACTCATGAACCAATCTAGAAAGGCTGCCAAAGCTGCTTATCGAGGATTAAAGGAGTTAGTCCAATTTGGAATGTTTTGCTGAGGTTGAACACCCTCCTGCTGTTAGTTCCATAAATGTTGAGGTTGCCAACGAACACGTGGCACCCAAACCAAAATTTGAATTTGCCTTTGAAAAGATTGAAGTATCTGATGATGAAGAAGATCAAGAGGAACAAGAAAATGAATTGATAGAAAGTGAGTTTGAAGATTTTATTCAGAAAAGTATCTCAATCCCATAAGAGGATGCAGCTATCACGTCTCCAGTTGTGACTGAAAGAGAAAGTGACACAAATGTGAAATCATCCATACCGACCGCTGAACAAATGGATGCTCTCATTGCAGAACTTCAGCGAACTACAAGGAAGCCTCCCCAAACAATTCCTGTCACTACTGAACCCCCATCTAAAAGTGATCCAGAAGACTCAACGCACGCCTTACTCCCAAGGAAGCAAAAAAGAAGAGATCCAAGGCTGGGAGTGTTTATCACAGACCCAGTCCAAAAGAATTCTACACCGATTGAGTCTGGTTCTATGGCTCAAAACATACAAACCACATTCACTGAGTCCTCTCCAGTGATTGAAGAAATATCAAGCTCGTTACCTGAGTCCACTCCTATGGATCAGGATTTTCAAAGCCCAAGTGTTGAAGAAGAAGTCTTACCTTCAGATGGAGCTCACGCTTCAGGAAGCTCTTTTAAAACACCTGAGTTGTACATATCCAAAGGCAAAAGCAAGTTGCCTGAATCTGAATTAGTTGATGTTGTTCAGCTTCAAAAAAAAGTCTTTGATGTGGAACTAAACTCTACTGAAAAGAATTTGATAATTGGAAAGTAGGATATTCGAATCAGCAAGCTTAAGAAAGAGAACTCTGATAAAGAGAACCAAGTCTTTGATGCTATTATTTGTCACTGATGCAACATTGGCTCCGACCACCTACTCTAAGGATGTGCTTCTTGTTGGATTAGTGTCTAAGTCCATAACTATAATTGGTATATACTTGACCCGACCCGACATGGTCCATTTGGGTTGCATGGCATCATGCATTTTGATAGACTAAAATGAGAGAAATAACACTTAAGGTTTATTAATATATTATAAGTTCTAATATATTAATACGATTATTTAATTAGTATTAATCAAGAATTAATCTAGAATTAATTAAGTGATCATAAGAAAACTAATTAAATATATGGGTTGATTGTCTAAATCATCTATACTTATATAGTGGGCTAATGCTCCATGGATTATCAAGTTGGGCTAAAACCCATAGGATGCTCCATGGATGTTCCATGGTGTATTTGAACCCATGGATCCAAGAAAATGGAAAGGCATGACAATTAGGGTTTACCCTAATAATGATTAACTATATAATGATCTTATTATTGAAGAAATTGACCACTAAGTGAAGGAGTGAGGGCAAACCGATTTCAAAGTGTTCTATTTTCTCTCTAAGTTATTCCAAATGCATTTGACATTGTGTGAACCATTTGAGGTGTCATACTTGGGGCACTAGGCTCTTAAGCTACATGGAATCAAGCACCAACAAAGAGGTATGTTATTCTACTAGATTTTATATTATTTGTACTTCATAATATGCTAGTTAGGATAAATATGTTGGAAATTGATATTTGCACGTATAATAGAGAAAACATAGATCCAAGGTATTTAGGGTTGCATGTACACCATAGGAGTGTTAGAATGCTCAAAACCCAACAGTGGTATCAGAGCCCAGGTTGTTTTCTGTTATATTGATGCAAATGTTTTATTTTCAAAGTTGAAAAAAAAAACATGATGTTTGTCAAATTTTAAGATAATTACTTGTTTTTGTGAAAACCTAATTATTTGTAAAATTTGAATCATTTTCTATATGAGTTGAACTAGGTCAAATTTAGTAAAAGATAAAATGATATGATTATTTTATTAGTTTTAAAAGTTTCTATGACATCCTCAATTTCACGGCCAGAAAAGACAGATTTGTTTATGCTTTGTTCTTATAAAACCAGAGTAATCTTTTGATTAAAAGAGTTGCAGAATTTGTTCCCAAAATAAAATATGATAAAATTTATCAAAACGTTTCTCTAAGAGAATGTATTTTCATTAAATAATAAAACCTCGGGATGTCATGTTCGATACAGACCAAAAGCATAAACAATATAAAATAAACCTTACGACAGTTATTTATAACTACTGATCTATAATCCAAAATCCCTCGTCAAGTCCGCCAACTTATACTCTTGTGACATCACCTGTAATGTAAAGAAAACTGAGTGGGTCAGGCTTGGGAGCCTGGTGAGCATATATGGTTTTCAACCCACAATAATACATTTATTATATTCAATTATCAAACAATCAATCCAAATACCCATCCCCATATCCCCTTTATTTTCTCAAGGGTTTACCCTAAGAATCCACAATCCTTCATTCATTCATTCCTAAGGATTTACCTAAGGAATTGGCACAAGGTCTATTTGCTACCACGGTTTATACAACAGGCACTACGTCACATAGTCACCAGGGTTCATACAATAGGCACGAAGTCACATCGTCACCAAGGTTTATCAAATAGGCACGAAGTTGCATCGTCACCAAAGCTTTACTTAATAGGCACGAAGTCAAATCGTCACCAAGGCTTTACTTAATAGGCACGAAGTCACATCGTCACCAAGGCTTACTCAATAGGCACGAAGTCACATCGTCACCAACTATTCCATCTACCCATGTTCTACCCAATATTTTTGTAGATATAAATACAAGCACAATTTAAGTCATTTAACACCCGTATAAAAACATCAATTCCAAGCCCATCTCAAATAGACAAATAATATATAACCCATAGCACATATTTCATACCTAATACTTTATATTTATGTGTTAGAAGAAAGTAGTTATACACTCACTTGATCAGAAGATAAGCGGACAACACTACGGCTTGTAAAAGTAGTATTCTTCGGGAGATCTGGAAGATCTTCACAAAAACCAGGCTCCTCGCGGGCAGAGCTTCGGCTCGGGAATTTCACTTCTTGGGATCTTCAGGGCCTCGGAACTTGCTTCGGGGCTCGGGAATGATACTGGGGCTTCGGGATAATTCTTGCACGAAAAACGATGCAAAAACGCAAGAGAAAGAAGAGAAATGAGCAAATGAATCGGGTTGCACTCGACTCCCTTTTATAGGGTCTGGATTTACGATTTACGCTCGGCGTAATCCTACATTACGCTGGGCGTAATGTGGATCAGCTCGCTGACTCCCCCCTTGGATAATATCGAAAATTTATATTTAAATTTAATATCGAAAATATTTAATAAACTTCAAAAATTCATATCTTCTTCATACGAACTCCGTTTTCGTCGTTCTTTATATCACCGCGTAGGTGAGACTACGCTCTACAACTTCCATTTAGACTCTGTCGGCTATTTTTGAATTTATTTTTATTATTTATTTTTAGTAGGCCGGGACAGGAAAATTCCGTTATAAATTCATAACTTCTTTATCCGACGTTCGTTTTCGCCTATCTTTTGATCGTTTCATTAAAATTCATGAGATCTTGGATTCTCATTTAGATTGTTTCCGCTAAAAACCGTTCGGTCTCAAATCGAGTATTCGGGCTGCATACTGCTAAGTCGAAACTTAGAAAAATCATAACTTCCTCATACGAAGTCAGATTTGGACGTTCTTTTTATGCACGCTCACGGTTTAACGTATTATACAACTTTCATTTATATTGCTAAGGCTAAATATTGCTCTAACGTAAATTCACTTTTTACGTCGCGCTGTGTCGTGCCGGTTCTATCGCGAAACTTCGACAGGTCATAACTTCTTCGTTATAACTCGGATTTCAGCGTTCTTTATATGTACGGAATCCTTGTAACATATACTACAACTTAGTTAAGATTATTCATTCTAAATAATCTTTTATCAAAAAGTCATTTTTGATGCTTATCGTCTCTAAATTGACTAACCCTGGTCTACGGGCGTTACAATTATCTCCCCCTTAGGATGATTACGTCCCGGAATCATCAATGAAACAGTCCTTACGTTAAATTTCCATCCTTATTAATAACCGTGATGCTTAATCTTTCATCTGCTTTTCATACTATGTTGGACTTTCAATCGTAACCTTCAAGTTACAAAATAAATCCTTATTGTGGACTCCTTCTTCTTAGGATAAATACATTCATTTATCTATTGTAACTAACCAATGGGTCGTGTCCCGATGACCTCTCATCATAGTCCGACTCAATTGATATGACCACTAGGGTCGAAATAACAACTATCTTACTAGTCATTACCGAAACAATAGTAACGACATACTGGAATAAAACGGAATCAATTACTAGCTTCTTGGTAACTTTGCGACTTCCCATGATCCAAGCGTGAGTCATGTGCTTCCGGTAGTATAGATCGCTACTACCATTCACACCTAATCATACTCGTCCCAAGTATTGTCTCGCAATTAACCAAGTCACCATACATAAATCATAAAATCATTCAACACATCAGATAACAAAACCAGGGTTTATATTAATTCTTGAAACTATTACAAAAAAGTTCAAGTTCACCCTATACTATGCCTCTAGCAGGCTATGCTTCCTGATACTGACTTTATATATTAATATGAAGTCTTCATCTTTTAAGCCTCCCATCGTTTTCTGCTTCGTCGAGGAACATGTGGAATGCCCTTGGCTGTGGCGGTGCTTTTTTCTTTGGGCAGTCTCTAGAAACATGCCCTTCTTCGTTACATCCGTAGCACACCTTTTGTTAGCTGCGCATTTGTTGGTGAAATGCCCTGTCTTCCCACATTTGTAGCAGGTCGTCTCCTCGTTACACTTCCCGAAGTGTTTCTTTTTACACTTCTCACACCACTTAGCTTTATCTCTTCCTCCAGATTTCGAGAATTTTGTTTCTTTGTTGATCATTGAAGATCCTTCATGTTTCCTTTTCTCTCCAACTTCAGCTCTCTCCAGAACCTTTTCTTTTATTTGGGTCTCAACATTTTTGGCTGCCCAGATGGCGGCTTTCAGAGTGGTTTCATGTTTGACTATCGGACCAATGTACGCTGGTAATCCATTGGCAAACTTGCTGACCTTGGAAAGTTTCGTTGGAATTAGGTATGGAATAAGCTTCATCTTCTCCATAAAGGTTGTAGCATACTCAGTGACGCTCAATTTTCCCTTCTTCAGATTCTGGAACTCATTGTTGATTTCCAGAAGATCCTGCTCAGAGCAGTATTGCATTTCCAGTTGCACTACGAACTCTTCCCAAGACATCTTGCTAGCTTCCCCCTTGGGCATCAAACCAGCCAGTAACTTCCACCAGCTCAGTACTCCAGATTTTAATAGAGGAATTGCAAGAGCGGTCTTCTGTCTATTGCTACACTCGCAACTTTTAAACATTTTCTCCATCTCGGAGATCCAGTCCATAACTTGCACGAGTGTCGGGCTCCCAGAAAGACACGGTGGTTTGGATGCCATGAAATCCTTGTACTTGCATTCACGTCCGTCATTACCTCCATCCTGGTTGTTTTGGCGAACTATTGGTGGGTTGGCTTGACCAACGGTCCCACTGTAGTTTCCTCCTTCAGAATGCCCTCCATTTACTTCGGGCTCTTCAACTTCAATTGACAATTCTTCGCGATTCTGCCTAATCAGACGTCTGGTTTCTTCCATCTGATGATCCAACATTGTTTGGATCATCACTTGAACTCCGGCCATTGTCATTGGTTCAGGCGCTGCCGCTACAACAGGTATTTGTTCAATCACTGGTATTTGATTCCTGTTTTCATCAGCATTTCCAACTCCACTCCTCGTTCTCACCATTTTTGATCTGTACACCGAAT